GGCGGTACACTCAACAGAAATAGGAATGTTAGGGAAAGGGGTGGATTTGGAGATAAAGTACTAAACTCTGTTTCAGGCATGTTGGGTTTGAGACACAAGTAGGATATTTAAGAGGAGATATCCAGAAGACAGTTGGTAATGTGGGACTGGAATTCAGGTGAGAGATGTGAGCTACACATGTACATTGGGGATTCATCTATATAGAGATGATAATTGAACACATGGGAGTCGATGAGATCATCCCACTCAAGAGTGTTGGGGTTACTCTTAAGGCTGAGATTCTCACAACATAAAAAAGGATACTACTGAAAAAGAAAAGAAGCTTTCTAAAGAGATTGATGGGCATAGACAGGGAATTCATGACCCAACTTAAAACTTAAAAAAAAAAATAAAGAACAGAAGATGAAATATAGGTCAATAAATGAGGATGAGTACAAAGGCAGCTTGGTCCTGCAAGAATAATGTCAGGAACTCTAATGCCAAGAGAGAGAGCTAGGACTCTTAATGTGAATTAGCTGTTTAAAGTGCGAAAATTAAGAGATCATGAGAAGTTTGCACAAATCTTTAAAAAAAAAAACCCTTCAGTTATAGGCCTTGCCATGCACTTAACCTTTGGCAGGGACTGTACTGATCACACCCTTGCCAGATCTCTTACTGATTAGACCACTAAATTTAGATCTCAAGCCATTTCACTGAAATGGTGAGAGGATGCCTATTATACTGCTCTACAGACCATACAGCCAGAAAGAGGAAATGGATAATGGATTACATAAACAGATCACAAACCTGCTACTGAGGTATGATATAACAGGGGTGGGATGAAGGGAACAAGCATTTTATTTAGCACATAGTGTTTTGTTTTGTTTTGTTTTTGGCTAGGCAATGGAGTTAAGTGACTTGCCTAGGGTCACACAGCTAGTAAGTTTTTGGGGTTTTTTTGGGGGGTTTTTGCACATGGTATTTTATAAATATTATCTCATTTGATCCTTACAATAATGGTTCTGGAAGGTAAGTTCTATTATTATCCCCAATTTTCAGTTGGGAAAACTGAAGCAGAAGTTAAATGACTTGGCCAGGGTCTCATGGCTAGTAAGTGGCTGAGGCTGGATTGACCTCAGCCTCCAGGCCCAGTATTCTATCCACTGCACCATGTAGCTGCCTCTTTGTGGGGGTTATTGCTTCAATTATCAAGACAGCTTCTAGAGTGCTCATTTTGCTAAAAGCAGAGTAAGTGAAAATTTTATTTTCATTAATATACAATTTATTAATAAATGAAACTGAAAAGAAAGGATAAAAACAGAACTGTTTATGGTATTTTGGCTATGAGGAAGATTACCTCCAGAATCACTTTGAACCCTCATAAAACCCAGTCCATGACTCCTCTTCACTTGTCTGGAAGCATTTAGCTCAATTTAGCTACTGGTTAAAGTCTCTTAAGAATCTTCTTAATATTTCTCCTTGAGGTAAAAGCTAATAAATTCTGGACTTGCCTCAATATTAATTTTATCCAATAAAAGAGACCTGGTCTATTCTAGGCTAACTTTCATTAATTAGGGAGAAGTGATTGCTGAAATGGAAATCATAAAAATCTTGGGGAAAAAAATGACCAAACCATCTTACCAATGCAGTTGGCACCCTCCTTGACACTTACAGTTTTAGCTGCCTAGAGCAGTGTTATCTAAGTCAAATAGAAGAGATCCTTGTGGGCTGCATATTAACTTAGAAAACCAAAAATTGACATTACGTTGGATTGTATTTTTATTTTATTTTGTTAAACATTTCCCAATTACATTTTAATCCATTTCAGGCCTTACTCAGGAGTTTTGCAGGTGAGCCATGAGTTTGACACTCCTGACCTAAAGCATTGAAGGATCACATAGTGTAGAGGGCCGGCTTTTGAGAGTTGGAGGGCTTAGGCCATCCAGGTCTTACCTGTAGATTGTACTAAGCCTGACAGCTGTGAAACTCAGGATGTCAGCTCACCACCCCGCTGTTCTGAGTCCTGAGAACAGGATGCAGGAAGGGAGGAAACGGATGGGGTACAGGACAGGACGCAGGAAAGAATGTAACAGACAAGGTACAAGAAGTAAGGAAATCACCTAATTAGATTTGTACTTTTCATGAATAATAATGTTACTATTGCTTGATCCAGTACTCTATAAGCCTGGGCCCTCAGATCAATAAACAGAGTTTGTTCTTCACTGCTCTCACCTGGCCCGTGATTCTTTCTCTCTTCACACTCTGCCGGCATCAGACCACAGTCAGGGACGCAGGCGCTCCCGGCAACCTAGACAGTGTGTGTTAGAAGTATGACGTGAATACAGGGCTCTTGACTCAGAGGCCAGCTCTCAGTCAGTGGGTTGAGATATCGTGCTGCCTCTCCTGCTGGAGAGATAGGAGAGGCAAATGGGACCTAGTCTGATATGCACCCTAGCATTTAGGATGATAAATTTCAAAGAATTAAGGTAGGGGTAGAATATTTGAAATTCTGCCCCTTGTATTCCCTAACTTCCTTCAATAGTTAAAAATCCCACCTTCTACAGGAAGCCTTTCATGAATCCCCCTTGATGCTACTGTCTTCCCTCTCTTAATTATCCCTAATTCATCCCATCTATTTCTTGTCTGTACATACTTGTTTTCATGTTGTCTCTGCTATTTGAACTCTTTGTGAGCAGGCTCTGTCTTTGGCCTTTCTTTGTATTCCCAAACAGTGCTGGCACATAGTAGGTGCTTAAATGAGTGCTTATTGACCCACTGTTGACTTGCTATGAGAGGAAGTTGGCTCAGGAGGGCTGGTGGTGCTCTGAAAGATGAAATTCTCACAACACAAATCAAAAAAGATACTATTGAAAAAGAAAAGAAGTTTTCTAAAGAAATTGATGTGATACACAGAGAACTCATGATTCAACTTAAGACTTAAAAAAAATGAACAGAAGATGGAGGTACAGAAAACAAGTGAGGATGACTACAAAGGCAGTCCTATATGAATAAATGTCAGGAACTATAATGCCAAGAATATCCTGAAGCTTACAATAATTGCTAAGACTGGAAACCTTTTTTTGTTTGTTTGTTTTTGCTTTTTGGTGAGGCATTCAGGATTAAGTGACTTGCCCAGGGTCACACAGCTAGTAAATGTCAAGTGTCCGAGGCCAGATTTGAACTCAGATCTTCTTGACTCCAAAGCTGGAGTTCTAACCACTGTACAACCTAGCTACCCCTCTTTTTTTTTTTCTTTCAAAGAAGGTATTTTATGGGCTTTCAAGGAATAGGCCCAGTACTTAGGACAGATAGGACAATGATAACAGACTCTGGAGAGAAGACTAAATTACTCAGTTCACTTAATTTCTGCTTTCAATGATCTTCAAATTGGGAAAAACAAAACAAAAAATGATTAATAGAGAATTAAAACCCAAACTGAGGAGAGCTACTCTCATACCACAAAAGAGTTCCTAGCTTCTTATAATAAGTTCAAATGACCAGGTCTGGTCAAATCACATGCCAGAGTTCTAGAATAATTCCTGGATTGGATTGCTATCTTTCACCATTCTTTGAACAGTTGTAGAGAACAGGAGAAGTACCATAAGATTAGAGATGGACAAATATCCTCATTTTTAAAGAGGGGAAGAAGATATATCCTTCAAACTGTAGGCTGTTGAGCTTGACATCAATTCCTGGTAATATGTGGAATGTATTCTCTTTTTTAAAAAATAAATTTTATCTTTTTTTTATATTATCTATATGTTCTACTGTATTCTTCCCAATGCACCTCCCCCTCTGCCCTGCCATTACTGTCTTTCAGAGGGCAATCTCCTATAATAAAGAAGGGAAAAAAATCAATAAAACTAATTTACAATTTGAAAAAAATTCTGACAATATATGCATGGTTCCTTACATCTTCAAAGCAAGGGAAGGAAGCTTCTCATACTTCTTCTTCAAAGCCAAGGTTGGTCATTGCAGTTTTAAAGGATTCTAGAATTCATTCATTAAAAAAAAAAAACTCTTACAAAGGGATAATTACTTTAAAGATACAACAATAACAAAAGTACAAATTTTTTCAACTCGCACATTTCAAGGGCACACTCTCCTCTATGCCACTTTGATTCTTGTGGGGGAAAATGGGCTCAAACTTAACACGGTTTCTATATAACATTGGTCTCATCTAGTTCATGTTCAAAGGTGGTATCACTGCTTGATGAATCCTTGTCTGCTAGTCTGGGTCCTGAATATCACTCCCAAAGCTTACTCCTTACTCTTTGGGGCATCACTGTCAGGCTAGCTACAAAATTCAGATACTTTGACACTGGGATATAAGTAGGATTGCTCTGCTGACCTATCAAAACTTGATGTCTTTCACCTAAAATGGAAGAGAACAGATGACATAGGCAAGAGGACCGAAGTGTATTTTCATGTTGCCACGTATTGGCCTCAGGAGGAGAAGGCCCATCATATCTTCTCCTATAGTATTATCTCTGATGGATGCTGTCAGTGAAGGAGGCAAACCAACGGTGAGAGGCCAAAGACTCAGAATGTATTTTTGAAGGGATAGTCTATTAACATTTGGAAAGGCAAGTGGTGATTACCCGCATGGAGTCATCAATAACAGTCCTGTCTGGATAACTTCATTTTCTACTACAGATGGAGTTGCTATACTGATAGAACAGAGCAATGCCAGATAAAAAGTATATACCTGGATTTTAGTAAGACATTTTATAAAGTTTTGTGGACATCATAGTTTTGTGGATAAGATGGTGAAATAGAGCCTAGGTGATAGTATAGATGAGCCCAATAGCTAAAACTGAAAAATGGTAATTAATGGGTTAAAATAGAAGTTATTTTTTATTGGTATGCTATGCAAGGGATAGATGTCTTACTTACCAAATTTGTAGATGACATGATGCTGGGAAGGATAATTAACATGCTGGATGATAGAATTCCCACTTGAAGGTAATGAATAAATGAAGATTTAGCACATTATGTCTAAAATTATGTCTCACTTTCAGATGGATGTCAAACAAAGATGATGTATCGTGGCACGCTGGAAAGAGTGGTACCATTATTAGGGAACCCAGATTCTTAGTGGTAACTATGCTACTAATTAACTGTATGACCCTGGACACATCACTTAATCTTTCCAATGTCTTTTAAGGTCCCTTCCAGCTCTAAACCTATGACCTGATTATTTTTAATATCTTAATTAATTAATCTTAATATTAATGGGCATCTTACTTCCTCTTTCTGGGCTTCAGTTGTATTATCTATAAAATGAGAAAGTTGTACTGGATGATTTCCAAGTTACTTTCCACCTCTAATATTCCATGGATCTATGAAGATTGTATTTCTACATCTCCTTCATGACCTTCATTCAAATAGAATTCAGTCTCCTTTACTCTCCACTAACTCCCTCCTGTTGGGTTGTTCCCCTTCTGCTAATACGTATTCCCCATCTGTGAGACTGTGAAGCCCCAGGTTAATGTCTCATAGGCAGGGAAAGAAAGCATGCTTTGCCAAAGTCTCTGAGGAAAAATTTGTTTTTTATTAGAAATCCCTATCATTATAAATTATAAAAACATTTTCCTGAAGCTGTATAAAGGAAATAAATGTAAGTTAAGAGCACCAGACCTTGTTATCAAAATAAGAAAGTAATTTTATCTAGTTGTCCTTTGTTTCCAGCATCACCTTTCCGCAATTAAAAAAAATAGACACTAATCAGAATAATATGATTAAATAAAGGTTAAATTAATATCTTGCTAGACATCTTAGGTGTCTTTGTAAAGAGATTGTGTAAGGCTGAATTTGCTGATGTTAAGTGAATCTATTGCCTAGAACTGAAACTCTAGGTTTATGCAAATTACTTTCATTCCAGGGACTTCACATAAATCAATCTCTTTTTGATTCTTATCTCCAACCAGTGTTTTCCTTAAAAACAGTAAAATTTGGTTCATTTTATTATCCCCTAGGAAACACTAAAATATAGTTTTTGTCTAGGTCTTAGCAGAAAATGTAAAAGCATCTTCAACTCTCTGCCAAGCACTCACTCTGACATAGCAAACACAGGACAAACTGTATTTCATGAAATAACTAGTACAAAACAGGAAGGACTCATGCCTTAACCCTCAAACAGTCATAATCTCTCATTCACTGGACTATAGTCTATCACCTTCCCCAGGAACCCAGATTATTCTTTAGACTTATAGTACTACCTTAGGGTCAAGGCCATTCTGATAGGGGAAGGCACTCAGATGTTACCATCTTTGCCACTCTGATGGCTGTGACATAGATCCTCAGAATTATCTTAATTTGCATTTCTCTAATGATTAGTGTTTTGGAACATGGTTTCACATGATTGTTTTTATTTTGAGAGCTTCTTGTTCATATTCTATGACTATGTATTGGGGAGAATGATTCTTGTTCTTCTATATTTGTATTACTATTCCATCTGTATCTTGGATATTGGGCCTTTATCAGAGCAATTTGCTACAAAGATTCCTCTCTGCCCCCCAAGTTAGCTGTTTTTACTACATTTTTCATTATTTTATTTTGTTTGTGCTAACATTTTTCAATTTTATGTAATCCAAATGGTTATTTCCCCCCTTTCCTAATTCTATATCCTGTTTGGTCAATAACTCTTCCTCTATAAATAATTCATATAGAGAGGCATTTCCTTCTCTGTGCTCATTTAAAATATGACTTTTTATACCTAAGCCATGTATCCATTTTGAATTTATTGTGGCATATGATGTAAGTTGTTGGTTTAAACCTGATTTCTTCCACATGGCATTCCAATTTTCTCAGAATTTTTTTTGTTAAATATTAAATATCTTTGGGTTTGTTGAATACTGTTACTATTGTATATAAGGCAATCATGCAATCAGAAGAAGAGGGGAAAAAAGCAGAAAAATGAGTTCATGTCTAATATGGCTATCAAATACTGTATACCTTGACTCTTTAATTTAATAATAATAGTACATTTATAGTTCCTGTAACACTTTACAGCCATATAAAGTTTAGGAATGGCATTGTTCAGTCAAGAGCAAGAGACCTCTCAAGTATGGGATAGGGGCTTGAAAATGACCATGAAATGTTTCCTATCTTAATAATTGTTGTGTGTGGTCTATCTCATACTCCTAGGTCTATTTTGAATGGAGCCAGCACCCAGATGGCATCGGCTTTATGAGCTCAGGATTGGCGGGAAGTCTGAGTTTGTAGGTTGAGCACCATCTGGTGCACAGAGGTGATACTGCAACCTTTGGGAAAACCAGTGCCAGTAGTATCAAATACCCTGTGAGGAAGGTACTTAACTGTTGGTCTGAGGGTACTGCCACCTTGTGGTCAACTTATGTATCACATGCCCTGGCTGTTAAATTGATTTCTTTATTGAGTGACAGCCTGATTTTCCAAGAGTTATAGAAAGCAGGGACTAAGCCAGGTGTGGATTATTACTTCTGAAGTAACACAAAGTGTTCATATAGCCCACACTCTCTGTCACACCTTTTCCCCTTCTTTCCCTCCAGGGAATAGTCCAGTGTGATACAGAGTAGAGATGTATCCTGGAGGGGCCTGAAGAAAGGGTTACCCCAGAAGCAGTAATTTCTACCCCAGAGGGCCACACAACCTTATGTGGACCTAGGACAGAAAAAAACCACATGGCTAAACTCGGAGAGTTTTTGAACCTCGGTCTTCTGGATGGAAAAAGGAAGATTTCCTGGACAATGTGATCCCAGACTCCCATCTTCTCAAAAAGAAGGGACATTTTCTGGGCAGTGTGAGCCTTGGGGGGCAGGGGTCGTCTATGAAGAAACTATAGGTTGGAGAGTTTAGGCTTCTAACCTTTTATGAAAAGATAAGTTACTGGGTAGCATTTGCCTGTTCAGGAGAAAAGAAGTTGGCACACATATGTGGCTGAAATTGGGTAATCAATAGAGGAGTCTAAACCATGATATGGAGCTGAACTGATAATTTATGAAATTATGAAATGCCTATGAAATAGGCACGCCCAGTTCTTTGAATACTCGCTGGGAAAGAACGCAACTGGCAATAGGGAATGGAGTGGCGATAACACTTTAATTAGGCACAGGGGGTACTGAGACAAGAGGTGAAAGGGGTACAAAGACAGATGGCATGGTGAAGGTACAGGGGATAGAAGGGTGAAGGGAGGCAGGCAGTGATGTAGAAGAGGAGAGGGAGGAGGAGAGGCACAGATAATTACTTATGTATGTGGTTTAGAGTTTGGGAGCACTGAACAGCACAGACCCAATGGAGATGGAAAAGTATTGGTGGGTAGCTGGGGGCAGGAGGTTGAGGTTTCATTTTTATGGTTCTTTAGGAGAAAACAGACTAACTCTTATCTGTACCATGTTGGGGTTTGTTCACTAACATATCCAAATCATCTCAAAGTTATTAGCACTTTTTCGATGTTCTGCCAGTTTGGAACTGTGAAAGTCTGAGGTTTACAAATCGCATGTGCTGCTGTCAGTGCATAGATGATTTCTGCTGATTCAGCACATGTTACCAGGATGTGAATTTTGGTTAATATATGATACAATTTGTAAAGTATGCTCCTTTGGTCTTTGGGGACTTCCCAATTATTTCCTCTTTGTAATCTTACTTCCTCCTAAGTGCTCCTTTATTCTGGCTACTTGTAAACTTGCTATACTGACTAGACGGAGAGGGAGTAGTCAGGGGGATCAGAACAAGTCGCAATTTTAACACAGGGACAAAAAGATCTGGGCTTTGTTCCTATTCATACTATGAGTTATTTGGTCAATACAGGTCAGGTGGGAAGAAGGTTGCCTGTTGCATCCCCAAGTTCATTTCCTTATGGGGGACTCCAGCTCTCCCTATGTATTAGCATAAGGCTGGATGATTTATAGGTTCCTGAGATAGAATAGGACTCACCAGCTTGTCGGATGGGGGGGTGCTCTGTGAGTGATACCTAGCTTATTTCTCTTCTGTGAGTCTAAAACACAAGGTGAAGTTCTAAATTTGAGAGACTTTAGGGCTCAGTATGGGGAAGTGGGGAGGAATGGGAGCCACTGGAAAGTGAAGTGAATTGCATTAATTATTTATGAGCTACTGTGATTCTTTTATGCATTTTATGTATTTCTGTGGAGTGGAACAAAGGTCGTCTTGTACTCAATATACATTATTGTCTTAAATACTTAAATAGGACTTAGAGACCTTTTAACCCACATAGGATAGGAGGTGCAATGCAATCTTGGGCAGTCCCAAAGATTGAACCTAATCCATTGATGCCTGGAGGTTGAATCTTAGGCCACTGGTTACATCGTGGGCACAGTGAGTTAGGATACTTGTCTAGAATTGTGTTTCATTCTGTCTGTTTGTTTTCCCCAGTAGTACTACTTGTCCTAGAATGACATGAGAAAAAAGAGTTCAAGAGAAATTCCTCAATATGTACCATAAGCATTACCTCATTTGATTCACATAACCCCAAGGTGTAGACAATAGGGGTATGGAGCGAAGATATGCAGCTACAATCCTCAGCTTGTTTGAGATGCAGAGGGGCAATGTAATTGGTGAATGCTCCCTGGGATAGAACTGGATTTTATTTGATAGTGTGAGAAATGATTCTCTCTTATATTTAATAACTAATTATTGTATTGTGACCAAGGTTTTTTCCCTTTTCCACTTCCTCATCTAGAAATCAATCTGTGTGAAAAATCTTTCTGAAAGATTTACCCAGTCTTAGAACTAATCAGACATTAAAAGAAATTTTTAAGTTTAGGCTAATGGGTGCATTCCTGCTCATTGTGTTTACTCAAACAGGTCTGGGAAAGTGTTGATTCTTCCTTTTATCAGACGGGTGAAATGGAAATTGATAAGTCTCTTTGACCAAGATTTGGCTGATCCAAGTCATATGTGTGTGTGTGTCTATGTGTGTATGTCCAAGTCATGTAATATAGCTCAGCCCCTCATTGTAATATTCGTTTTCTCATTGTTAACCAGAGTTGCTTGCCACCCCTCAGGAACACCTACTCTTCCAAGAGCATATAAAGTGTGAGCCCATCACCATAAAGGGTCTTTGGTCTAAGAGAGATGTCCAAATGACCATCCTTTTATTAATAAACATAATGGCATTATTAATAAAATGATTAAATTACCCAGAAACTATTTCTCACAGACTTTTTAAATGCCACAATAGACTTGTGGAGAAATGCAATGCAGGATATTCTCCCTTCATTGTGGGTCTTTGAAGATGAAATCAAGAGGAATTTGGGAGGCTACCATGATGGTTAGGGCTGTGTCTTCACCCTGTATACTGTGCTAGATTTATGACACTACCGCAGTGCTGTGTTAAGGGTGAGCCTCTGGAGCATTTTGTGGGGATTTTGTTTCGGTGTGGGATGGAAGGAATAGATCAATGCATAGTAAAGCTTCTGATCCTGGGAGAAATGGTCCCCAAATCCTAGAATTAGCATCGTGCTGTGTAACCGTCACCTCTGAATATTACTGCAGTGTCTTCAGTGTTTTGTAATGTCGTTGTGAGTTAACTGCATGCATTCATTTCTGTTTCATAGAAAGATAGTCTAAAAATGAGATTGGTTTACCTAGCATCAAGAACATAAGAAAGAGACACATGCCATGGAAAGGGATTTCAACATGGCACAGTAGAAAGGATACTAGATTTGGAGTCCCAGAACCTGGGATTGCCACTTGAAATCAGTGTGACATTGGGCAAGTCATTCAAACTCTTATGACTTTAGTTTCCTCATATATAAAATGATGGGATTGGGCTAAAGGACCTAATAAGATTTTTTTCTCCATAGCTTTAAATATAATATTGTATGATCCTTTGGGAAAGACCAAGATTGCAATAAAATGGAATGTACAGCTTACTAGAGGAAATTAATGATTCTGCATCTAATTACCTTTTATCTAATCCAATTAAATGGTTTTAATGATGTATTGTTCAGAGGCTTTTGATTGCTAGTTTTAAAGAAAAAGGCTAAGAATTGGGTGCCAAGCCAAGAAATTTTGATTGGTAGACACACAGTTACCTCCAGAGAGACCAGGGAATCTTAACCTTTGTGTGTGTGTGTGTGTGTGTGTGTGTGTGTGTGTGTGTGTGTATCATGGACCTCTTTGTCTGTCTGGTGAAGTTTTTGGATCTATTCTGAGAGTAATATTTTTATACAAATAAAATGAAATTTATCAGGTTACCAAGGAAACTAATTATATTGAAATACAGTTAGCAAAAAAATAAATAAATAAAAAGTTATTTTAAAGTGCATGGACTCCAGGTTAAGGACTACTGCTTTAAACCTATGCCAACACTCTGGTAGCCTATACAGCCAGTCGGTGATAACCAGCTACCCTGATGATCTATGATAAAAATGAAACAGGCAGTTTGGTCGATACCAACAGCTTTCCCTGGTGGTTGGGCCACATCCTGTTATTCCCAATTTTCAGATGAAGAAATGGAGGCTCAATATGATTCAGTGACTCACCCAAAGTTAGTAGCTGGTTAGGTCTTCTGTGCCAAGTCTTATCCTCTTCCCACTACACCAGGCTGCTGGTCCTTCAATGTCTACGTTCCATGTGAGGGGGTGGGGGAGGGTACTGCTTAAATGACCTCAAATTATTTCTGCATAAATGGATGAAAGAGTTCAAAGCTAACATTACCACCAATTTAGAGATATGAAGAATCAATGTGGTTCCCACTGAGCAGGATCCAGTTTTTGGCATTCACTTTTCTGGCAGGCAAAGCTTGGAAATAAGGTTGGTTGTTTCAAATTGTGTCACGAGGACAGCCTTATTGTGTCACAGATGATTATCTTCAAACTCTTCCAGTGGTCCTAAGAGACCCAGCATTAAACTGCAGAGAGCTCTTACAAGGGCATTTATCAACCTCATTTTTCCCATCTGATAACACAAGGCCGACTCATTATTTATATTCTCAACCTGGTTCCCCAGTGTATTGTTACCAGGTCCTCCCCCTTTAGTTTTAAATCTAATTTTCCTATGAAGACCTAACTATTTCTTGTTTATATTTTTCTCTAATATCAGTCTTGGGCCAGACGTTCTGTCATGCTTTTAGCTCCTATGGCCATAGCAGTGATAGATTTTTTTGGGTTTTTTTTGGGGGAGGAGGGGTTGTTTTTTGTTGTTGTTTTTTTTTTTAATACACAGGCTATTTAAACATGACATTTCCGTGAGGCACATTTTCTCCCATAGATCCCGAGGACTCAACCTAATTATCATAAAGGTACTCTGTCTGTGGTCTTACAGGGAACTCTGGAACAAAAACTCTCTATAAATTTGAGCATAAATAATAGATTATTATGAATAAGCATTGGTCGGGCACCAACAATGTGTTAGATGTTGCCCAGGATGCCTCAGTAACAAAGGGATACAGAGCACAGTCAGCTGTAACTTTCACTAGGTTTCCCAGCTGTCTAAAGCAGGGCTTCTTTTTTCTGTTCTTCTGGGCTACCCAGTTCCTCTCTTTTGAACCTTCTGTTGTGTTCAGTTCGAACCAATCTGTCCACCAGGGGTCCCCACTCCAGAGCATCAGCCAATAGCCATGGGAGCAAGGACTGCACATAGAAGAGTGTAATAATAGCAAATGATAATAGCCTACATTAACATTATCTTATTTGATCATTCAAGTATAATGCCTCTCCCTAACTCCTCAATTTTCTCCAACCTTTTATTTTATTCTAGGTGGGCTTTTAGGATCTGGATCATTACATAAAGTATTATTACTCCCGTAATCAAATGAGAAAATTCTGATGTTTGCCTTAAAAAATGCTGAGAGAAGCAGATTGTTGGATAGAACTGGTCTTGGCATCAAGAAAAACTTAGGTTCAAGGGCCTTCTTTGACACGTGTTGACTAAATGACTCTTAGCAAGTCCAACAAAAATAACACATTTTTAAACAGTTTATTCTAAGCTTGGTAACCATCAACAAAAACAAACTTAAAAAAAAAACCCTAACAAACAAATCCCAAGGAGATCACATATAAAATAATCATTGTTTTGTTTGGTTGTTATGGGAGGATGTGAGGAGGCATGGGTGGGTTACATTGGAGTTGGATATAAAACAACACTTCAATAATTCAAAGATCTATGATCTCACTGGTCTGTGTCTCCACCAACAAAGATTATAACCTCTCTGTACTTTGGGAAGTGATCTTTGAGAGTGCCATGGTAAAAAAACAAAAACCAACCAAACAAACAAAAACAATTCCAAAACCATCACCCTGACTGAGGCTGACAAAATAATTTGTCTTTTATTAATTTTTAACAAAATAGCAACACAATTGACCTATTTCTTTACATGTGCTCTTTGGATATTGTTTTTCTTCAGTGTCTTTAAAAAGGTAATTTATTGGTATTACATACATAGTCCCAGTAAGTATTTTAATTTTTTTTTATTATATATCATTTCATTTTCTTTTCCTGTTTCCTACTTCTTCATATTTTGCAGGTTCTTCTTTTTCTCAGGAGGAGGCCACCTGGAGTGGGCCTGAAGTTAGCTCATGCATGGCATCCTCCTGCTGTTGAACCTACCTTCAAGCACCTGTGACTTTTTTTTTTTAAAGACTAGGTCTCCCTATCTTGTCCACACTGAAGTGTTGTTATTCAGTTGTTTCAGTCATGACCAAATTCTTGTGACACCATTCGGGCTTTTCTTAGCAAAGATACTAGAGTAGTTTGCCATTTCTTTCTCCAAGTGGAAGTGTAGGGGCTATGCATGGCCAAATGCTACCTCTGTTCTGCTCAGAAGCACTAAACTGCTCCATTTCTGACCTGGGCTGGTTCACCCTTTCTTAGGCAACCTACTGGCTTACCATATTGATATTAATTTAATGCAGACCCTGATCAGCTTCACCTACTTCAGCTCAGAACTCCCAAGCTTAAAAAATCCACCAGTCTCAGACTCCTTGAAAATTGTGCTTACAGGCATATGCCATCCCATCAGCTAAGCTGACTTTGAGAGACTGAGCAGCTAGAGTTCATGAAGAGAACAGTAGGACAGAGGACTTGATGAAGGTTTTTTTTTAAATAAACTTGTTGACTATTTAAAACAATGATCATTTATAGGGCATGACTTAGAAATAGTTGAAACAATTTTTTTTTAAATAATAGGTTTGTATATAGGATATGGGAGCAGCTAGGTAATGCAGTGGAGTTTGCTGGAACTGAAATCAGGAAGACTCACTCACCTTCATAAGTTCAAATCTGGCCTCAGACACATACTAGCTGTATGATCCTGGGCAAGTCACTTAGCTCTGTTTGCCTCAGTTTCCTCATCTGTAAAATAAGCCAGAGAAGGAAATGGCAAACCACTTCAGTATCCTTGCTAAGAAAATCCCAAATGGGGTCATGAAAAGTCAGTCACGACTGAAATGACTAAAGAACAACAATTGTATATGGGATAATAGGGTTTAGAATTATGATGGGCCTTATAGATCATCAAATCCAACACTCTCATTTTACTGATGAGGAAATTAAGATTCTGAGATGAGAAGTAACTTGCTCAAGGCCACATTGGTAAGAGGCAGAGTGAGAATTTAAACCAATGTCTTCTGATTTGAAATTTTATCCTCTTTCACTGAACTCTCCCTCTGTCTTTCTGTGTGTGTATACTATTTTTTAAAACTAGGCCTATGATTTCATTGGCATAAGGAGCTCTTGGTGAAGAATTTTCTTTACCAGTGCAGATTGGCATCTGTGCGGCAACTTACAGTGTTAGTTACTTGGGGGCACTAAGAAACTAAGTGACTTTTTCAGGGTCAAACACAGTGGGGGCAGTGGTAGGACTAGAATCCAGATTTTCCTGGCTCTGAGGCCCTCCTTGAACTTTCTTTTCTTCAATATTCTGATGACTGTATTTCAGTACATGTTCCATGTATATTCAATATATATTAAATATATAATTGGTTTCCTTTGTAATCTTATGTATTTTATTTTATGCATTTAAAACTATCATAGGCTTCATCAGACTACAAAAGGAATCCTTGTCACAAAAAAAGGTTAAGAATCCCTGCCTTAGCTAAAGGCTTTGGGAATCTCAGGAACAGAATGCTCACCAGTTTGGAGGCTCAGAGATGACACTTGCTCAAGGTCCCATAGGTAGCACATAGAAGAGGCCTGAAATAAACCCAGATCCTCTGACTTCAGATCCAGTGCTCTTCCCATTGTGCTTTGCTTCCTCTCTGTTGCATGACTGCTACCTTCTGGAATAAGTGTCTAGATTACATAAAGACAAATCCCAAGAAAACACCTCATAGAACAGTGGGAGGGAGGAAGCACAGAGCTCAGAATTTTATTGTTTAGTCATATCTAAATCTATATGACCTCGTGGACTTTCGTCCAAATAAGCTTTTGTTGTTGTTGAGGCAATAGGAATTAAGTGACTTGCCCAAGGTCACACAGCTAGTAAGTGCTGAGGCTGGATTTGAACTCATGTCCTCCTGACTCCAGGGCTGGTGGTCTATTTACTGTGCCACCTAGCTGATCCATTCCATGGAATTTTCTCAGCAAAGATACTGGAGCGGTTTGCCATTTCCTTCTCCAGTATGCCCTCACTTTACTGACGAGCAACTGAGGCAAATAGGGGTTAAGTGACTTGCTGGATTTGAACTCAGATCTTCCCAGCTCCAAGTCCTGTGCTCTATCCACCTCACTTCTCCCAAGCTGAGAATAACCATGCCCAGGACCTCAGCTTTTGCAGGCATCTTTGAGTTTCTTAAGATTATCAATAGAAAGATTGAACAAATAAACTTCCAGTAAAATAGAGATACCTTTTGGCTCAATGAAACAGAGATTAGAAATGAGATATTTTAAAAATCTTTACTCCTTTGCTTAATCACATCTGTGCCTTTGAACATCTACCCAAGTCCCTCCCCAGGCTCTCTGGCTTTTCAGGACACAGAATGAGAATGTAATTTCACAG